TATGAGCAGCACCACAACCCGACCCACACACCTCCCAAACCCATCATTACTGTCCCAAAGCGTCCACAAGGGGACCGAAAGAGGAACAGTGCTGTCCCCTCCTCTCAGTCCCTTTTTTTGCATTCACTTTTGTTGTTGCTGCCACCACCAACCCAGCCCATGTCCCCCTAGACAGAATACAATTAATGGTTCATCACACTTGTTTTTTTCTCTCTCTTCTCCTTACAAACGTAAATTTACATGTCTTTGGCTCTGTTGTCAACTGGYATTTGTGTATGCAACTGACTCTGCAAGGTTTTTATACAGACACGAACAACTACAGACACACCAAAAACAACAAGCAGCAACACTTTTTCTTAGCCTGTTTCTGGACCTCCCTTCTTTTCCAATTATCTCACATCTTGTCCTCTAAGTCGATCCATCATTCTCTCATTCTTTGTGCTGTGATGGGCCRCTGACAAAAGTAAAACTGTAATTATGCTAACATGTCCATGTGACTACTTCCTGTCTAGAGAAGGCTCGCATCCTGCTCCCAAGGGCATCTTCASTAAACTGAAACATTCTTTAGGTGTCTATGTCAGCAAAGACAAATTTCCCATGCTGTGCCCTGTCAACAATGAGCTTTAAGGTATTTTGTTTGTCAAGAATGAAGTATGTCCACCTGGAGACAAAACAGGAACTGCAATGCAAAATGAGCAAACATATGCTGTAGTGGCAGAAGTGCAATACTTTGAAAACATTTTCCTTAAATGCTAAACATTGTCTTTGTGTCCACACAAAGCTTTTTGCATAAAACGATAAATTAAGTTACTTAATTTGAAACAAAATGCACAACTATGATCTTAAAGTTTTCAATTTAGGTTACATCTTTTCTCTAACTTGCTGCATTTTAGAAAAAAATCCATGTAAAACCATCCTGACAGTTAAATGTTAATCCCTCACTCTAAAGTTTGATTCATACTCCTCCAGAAGTGAAGAAATTTGCTCTTGCTGAATTAGTAGTCCAGTGAAAATTACGTCATTTTGATTTTGCATTAAAAAACACCAGAACTTTTTCTCTCAGACGTTTGCATCAACTAGGGTTGGGCAAAATCGTATAGCGTGCAATTATTRGTCAGAAATACTGTCAACAATTAATATTTGCCACTTTGCAATTTCTGCAATTAGTGCCATGTGATGATGCATTTTTGTGTGTGACGCARGAGCCCAATGGCGAAAGTCAGTGCAGAGCAACATCAGCCACATGCAAATTCAATTGTCATTTATTAACTGGCATATTAATGTCATATTGAATAATTTTTTTTTTGCTTATATGTCCCAAATTTGTTGTGAGTGTGTTTATGAGAAAAAGCAGGTGAACTGCAATAATATAATTTCAGTCTGTCGGAAGATAAACTAATACACATTACAAGTGGTCAGTGATGTTGACCATATTATCTCTACGCTTTTCATTTAGCTTTATTTAGCTGCCATGCCTCTCACGATTGGCACATTTCTATTACTGCAGGACTAGTATGAATACACCGCACATCCATCATCAGAGCCTGTTGCTCAGGCAACTTCTTGACCAAAATCTATTACAGACAAAACACAATCAGGTAGTTATACATGCACACATCACACACAACCTCCTATGGCCTCACCTGTGGACGTAGTGAAGCTGGTGAACAGAGTCAATGGCCAGTACCATCTCAGCCAGATAGAACTTGGCCATCTCCTCTGGCAATCGATCCTCAAATTTACTGAGCAGAGTCAGAAGGTCACCACCCACATAGTAGTCCATGACCAGGTACTAGAAAGAAAAAGAGCGGAGAACATTAATTCTTGGTGAATAAGGGCCCAATATAATCCAATCGAAGCTTTGAAATCAGCTCTCATTGACATAGTGTCATATAGATCACACATCACATTGGGAAGCACAACGACTCAGGGGTTAGCATTAATGCCTCACAACAAGAAGTTTCTGGGTTCGCTCTTCAGTTCAGTCAGGGTCTTTCTGTGTGGAGTTTGCATGTTCTCTATGCGTTTGCATGGGTTTTCTCCAGGTACTCTGATTTCACCCACAGACCAAACATGTACAAGTGCCTTTCGGCCCAGGCCTGCCTTGCAAAAGAAATCTGTGATCTCAATTAGATTTGCCTGGGTAAATAAAAATCAATAAATAAATAGTTGTGTGACAAAAATTGCATCATTTGTTTTTCCAGAGCATGTTTGCCTGATCCTTCTCAACATAAGGCCCAGTCTAAACCATTTCTCACAGGTGAATGAACCATTACTGCACCATCACACATATTGTGTGACTGGTCAGAATTTGCGGGGTATGTTTTTTTATGTGGAAAAGCCCTCAGACAGGAATGGTGGCACTTTGCTTCTACTACTCTGCTTCCAAAAGGTACAAAACCAATTCAACATGATAATTATTGCGCAAAAAAATTAAAAATAAAATAAAACTATAAAAGCTCTTGTTTTGGCTTTTTCATACTCTTTTTTTACAATACTGACAATAAGTAATCAGTTTCACTTTTAATGGTTTATCTAAAAATAAATAAACAGACCATGGTTAGTTTTTTAAGCCTTGGGGAGTGTCTTGCATTTGTTGTAAGAATGTGAGAAATGGAATGACAAACAGTTCAGATATTAGATATCAGGGTCACAGAGAGAGGACAAACTGTCAGTTAAAGAAAGAATGATCAGTTACAGCACCAGTTAAAGCGAGCAAGAGTTTGACTGACTACTTCGAAATATGAATATTTTTGCTTTATTTGCTTTTTGCCGTTTTGGCTTTTTTTTTTACTAGCTCAACATACTTAAACTGACCATATTTCTACAATTCAAAATCTTGTGTGCTGTGGTAAAAAAACAATGGGCCTCATGCAAGAACCGTTCGTACGCACAGATTTGTTCTTAAGTTGTGCYTACGAGTGATTTAGGAGAATTTGTGGCATTCAGCAATGTTTTCGTATTCTAAGATTTTCTTCAGATACGAACAAAATTTACGAGTGGTCCAGACCTGTCGTATATTTTACCAGCAGTCAGTCTGCTGTTATCCAGACGGATTTTCCTCCATAATAACTTTATATTTCATTAGTTTGAAGATATTTTGAGTTTAAATAAATTACACTCTATAATTATGTTGACAATAGGTCATTCTGCTTGAATTAGAGTTATAATTATAAATGTAATAATTTAGACTAACAATATAAATTGTCCGTCCGGCCGGCTTATCCAGGATCGGGTCGCAGGGGCAGCAGCAGAGAGACCCAGACTTCCCTCTCCCCAGCGACACTTTCCAGCTCGTCCTGGGGGACTCCGAGACGTTCCCAGGCCAGTGGGGATACATAATCTCTCCAGCGAGTCCTGGATTATCTCTAAAGTGCCTGACATATTTTGAAATAATTTTAAAATGCTTATTTCAGAACCGCAACTGAGACCACTTGAGACCGCGCGCGCGGGGGGGTGTTACAGTGCACAGCGCTGTGTCTTCTGAATAAATGAAAATGATTTAACACCGTTGTTTATAATTTTAGCAGCTCTTTTTATTCCACAGCTGACCTGCTAAAAATGACAGATTTTCTTTTCTGGATCTCTGACAGCAGGACTTCAATCTCTGAACTTGTAAAGTTCTTCTTTTTAGTTTTAGCTGTCATTTTTCTGAATGGACACTGCCTTGTATCTGAGGCAGGAAACATAGCCTTATATGGTGTTTTTGGGGTGGTAATTATGCTAATCTCCTCTRGCGTGCACGAGCAGCTGGATACGAACAGGTGGAATTTACGCAGCTCATTTACACACTTTTCCTGAAGATAGAAGAGTTTGTTGAATCTGACGTGACATGTTCGTACAAACCCTTCACACGAACAAAAGTAAGAGAAATTTAGGATAAGAATACGAACATGTTCTTGCATGAGGCCCAATGTGCTGTTTTGTGTCTGGGAATTTACATTATATGGAGCAGGTACTGTGCTCAAAAACCAATCAKAGGGTGTAATAGTTAAAATGTAATTTCTTTTAAGTAACATTTTTTTAAAAGCAACTTACACAACAAGAAATATGAGCAAGTAACTAACAAAAAACAATGAAAAAAGATTCAGGTTCAGTAAATAAGATGAATTTTTTTGGGGGGGGGGCTTGGACCTGATGGCTAGCCCCTCATCAGAGCTGAAGCTCCTATGTTTAATAGTTTTTTAGCTACAACCATTTTTGTATGTCCAGATACCATTTTTTCTGATAAATTGGGGGCTGGGGGGGGGTGCACTGATTGGTGGGCCTGATGGATACAGCTTCATCAGAGCTAAACAACAAAAGAAATCTGAAACTTCTATGTTGAACAGTTTCTGAGTTGTAAGCGATTTTGCATGTCCTGACACCCCGCCCCCCCACCTGAAAGGAACCCCATCCTCAAATATGGGGTGTATCATAAAACCGTTGGCTGGCACAGTGTAGGTCAGACTCATCTACAGTCCTGCCAAATTTCATGTTGATTGGTGCAGCCGTTTTTGTGGTACCATTGACCAAATATCACTTCGCGTGCGGGGGGGTCATAATAATGAATTGATCTTATAATGTACAACTCTTCCTGGTTACACCCCGGAGGTGTTACCTTTTATGTCAGACATCAGAACGTAACTCAATTTGTTTAGACTAAAAAAGAACACATGATAAGACACACACCGACTCTTTGTCTGCTTTAACCTTACAGGCTGAATTGATCAGAAAGTATAAAATACAATACTACATCTAACATTCTATTAATCAGTTACAAAATTTCCTTCAAAAATGTCAACATTTTTCTTTTTGTGTCGAAAAACAAAATTATGTTGTTGTATTTTTTTTTTTTACAATTGTCAGGCAGCTCTTTAAAAACAGAAGAGTTTATAAGAGAAAACTGTTACCAGATTATTGTCGTCCTGGAATGCATAGTGCAGGGTGGTGATCCACTGACAGTGCCCGTTTACCAAAACATCTCGCTCCTCCCGAAAACATGCTGTCTGTGAGAATGAAACGTACAAAACATTTATCCTTGACAGAACTTCAAAGAAAAAGACTTAAATATAAATTTCAACACAAGTTAAGAGCAGGGAGAATGAGTATGTGTTTAAGGTGTCCCAATAACATCTTGTGGTCCCGAACCCAACAGTACATCACAGGAACGTTCTGTAAATATGGGGACCAAACTGATTGCACCATGTGTACAAAGTGATCTTTGGGAGTTGAGACTTGGTTCTCTGTGTAAAAGTTGATATTAGCTTGTGTTTCGATTTAGGATAAGGATAAAATTAGGAATGCAGTGGTGATTGTAAGGAGCTTTTATAGATATTTTAGCATTTCCTCTGTTTCTGGCCTTGTGGGGAAGGTTTGTCAGGTGGGCTCAACATGAAAACGATTTCAAACTAAGTTTTGCTTTTAAGCGAAATTTAACATTTGATGATTAAGTCAAATAGTATATTTAAATATGCAAAATAGTGAAAAACGAATAATTCTATATGGTAAATGGTTTGAACTTATCTAGCCCTTTATCAAGTCCTTCCGGACTTCATAGCGTTTTACACTACAATCATTTTTGCTGCAAGCCCAATTCAGCTAGTAGACTAACTATTTTAGCTTTATGGGTAATTTMTCAAAAAGCAAAGTTTTTGTTCAAGTAAACAATCATGTCACGCACAAACTTAAAACCTCTCATCATCTACATCATTCCCAAAGTAAAGCATTGTGGTAGCATCATGATGTGGACAGTTTTTTTTTTATTTGCAAGGACTGGCACACTGGTGAGAAAACTGATGGAGCAAAATATAGAAAAAAAATTGAGGGAAAACTTTCCATTATGCTTGGATGTGCCAAGCAAATATTTAGCTTGTTCTAAGAGGTAAATTAAAAGATACAACAACCCCCCACCCCCCAAATAATAAAATTCATATAAATCCTAAGTGCTAAGGCAACAATATAAAGAGAATGCCAAAGAAGTGAATACTTTGAGTCAATCCCACTGCTGGAACTGAAGAAACAAAAGGCAACATTGATGTGCAGAAACAAATGTCAAGTGAATTTTGTTGCTCTACACTGTTTCTCATGTACAGGAATGTTCAGCACAAAAACTGAAAAAAGTTTTGCGTTATGACGTATAATCCATAATGACCAGGGACTCGAGAGACTGACAGGAATGTCAAACTGTCAGGAAGAGGTCAAAAAAACAAAACACGCATCTGATGCTAGTGCTGCTCAGACAGGGACATGTTCTGAAATCTATCAACAAAAGTTTAGGTTCTTTGCAAATAAATGAGAGCTGCAGGTTTTCCTGCTACAAGTCCCCTGCTCTAATACAGAAATTTGTCATGATGATCATCTTCCTAGTATTGTGAGTGAATGTAAACCATGCTAATGATGCATCTCAAAGGGAGCAGAAAAAAACTCTGAAGTGATACTAACCTCAGCTCGCTTGAGCATCTCCCACTTGTTGAGAATCTTCATAGCAAATACTTTGTCAGTGTTTTTCACTTTTACCACTGCAACCTGCAAAAAGGGGGGGAAAACAGTTTTAATTTGCTCTATGAAACCAAAGTCATAACGTTAAACAAAAATATTAAGCAATTTAAAACGCATTAAAGTTGTTAAAATTWGTGTAGATAACTGCGAAACAACATTGTGATGAGATCACACCCACTGAGGAAACAACTACTATCAAATGACACTTACAAACATATGTTCAAACCAAAGCCCAAAATTCCAGTCCATTTTTACTAGGGCTGGGTTACAAAAATCAATTTAAATCGATCTGGATCGATTCTCGTTCAAATTTGGGAAAATCGATTCATAAGTCACGAGATTGATTTTTTTCCCCATGGGTGTTGTGTGCGATGAAGCTGTGCGTTTCTGTGTTGTGTGTCACTACTGGCTTGCCATAGGTTTACATCCAGTTGACGGTAAGTGCTAATGTTAGCTCCTGACAACAAGTTGTCTGGGGCAAACAAAAGAAACAAAGGAATCACTAACATTACAGCTGATTCTCTGCTGAACTTGAAGATAACAGAGGCCAGGACAACTTTTGTTCGCAATGTTTTGTGCTCGGACGCGGTAGCGGGAAACGAAGCTTCGAATGGCTGGTTCTGGTGGTCAGACCAAAACTACGGTATGTAAACATCTGACTGAAACTGTTCTCCTCCTTTATAAATGTGGGAAAGTTGCCAGTCTAACAAAACCMTTTAGTTTTGTTACCAATGTTATCTATAAATTTTAGAAACATCTTAATGTAATTCACAGTGGTGGAATGTTTTAGCTAAAGTACTTTTTTTTTTTCTTTCTTCTTGTTTTTTACTGAACAGAAGCTAACAAAAACGTTACAAATATACAATTTTCATTTACTCAAAAGAGTGGGCATAAGTACACTTATATTATTCCACCTCTTCTCCTGTAACCTTATTCCATCACTTCTTAGTGATCAAGAAAATTATTCTTAATTTCTTAAAAAACTGTATCCAAAAACACTTTCTCTTGCAATTCYTTTTTAGTTTAAACCCTTTGAAACTTGAGGCAGTTTTGTTTCAAGATTAAACTCCAATTTACAAGTTTGCCCTTTATGTTTATAATTTTACCAATGCACCAAGTTAGAATTAGTCTCCACCATTTGCAGAATTGGTTCCTTTGAGAATGTCTTCTATATCAAAGTAAATGTGTTACTGCATGATATCCTTAACTAATTTAGAAATCAAACTGAATCGTGAATCGTCCTGAATCATTGTGAACCGTTAGTTGAATCGGGCCCCTGTGAATCGAATTGAATCGATTTGGGAAATTTGAATCGATACCCAGCACTAATTTTTACATTTCATTTATTAGTTACCTAGCCTGGTTAAAACCAACCCCTTGTCCTTCACTTTGCTTCATACAAGGGTCTGGACTCTTGGCTGTAGAGAAGCGATTCTTGCTGGAGGCGTGGCCTCCGTTGAAGTTTAAAATGATTGGATCGGTTGGCTGCGACGAATGTCGCTGTGAAGAAGGCTAAGCTAAGAAGCTAACTGAAAATTGCGTGCACTGTAAACAAGCCTTCTGAGAGGAGAGAAGTACCAAGCCGAATGAGATGGCTGTAAATGAGAGCTGCAGACTTGGTCAGACAGACTTAATTTAATTTGGAAGCCTTATCAACACAGACTGGCTTCTTTCACTTCCTCCACTGCCAATGCTAAACTCACAAGCAGACACTGTGCAGAAAATCGACGTTGTTCAAAACTCCGCCTTCTGTTTGCCGACTGGCCCAGGTAAAATAAACTACAAGCAGACACTGCACAGAAAATCAATGTTCTGTTCTCTGARTGACCCGAATGAAACTCTCCTGAAGAAATCCTTGTCTATGGGAGAAATCCCACATGGAGCAGTGAAGGGAAACTAGAATTGAGTGGAACTGCATAGGAAGGCGAGGGCCAGGCTACCAGTTACATAATGAATTAGGCAAACTACCAAACTGAAGTGTAAAACCTATTCTTCTGAAAAAAAAAAATTGTCTCCTGAGCTCATAAAAATGATTTGACAATTTATTTATTTATTTAACCTTTATTTCAATGGGCAAAACATTAAGAACAGTTTCTTATTTACAATGTTGGCCTGAGTAT